AAACTAACCACGCAAGTATTTGAACATCGCAAAGTGAGTGTTTATTGATTGTTTCACGCTTTATTCGGATTAATTTGTTTTTTCGTCTTTTTCCTTTTCTTGCCCTTAGGGTATCATTGTTTTCACATTCCTCTTCAGTAAAGAGACATCAGAACTCAGCCATTCGTCAGAAATTTGATAACCTAAAAACTTCTGAAGTGGAGAAGAAACCTTGTTTTTGCTAGCAAGAGTAGGCACATTTGAGGGCATCTCTCCTGAGTCCGATGTTTGTTGAGTATTGTTAAGAATACTGAGGGAGACAATTTCACTCGCATGAGCAGAGGAATGCAGCATCTGCAAACCATATTGTGCCACATCAACCTTTGAGGATTTGGAATGTACTGTGAGCGATTTATCTTCCTCCCACTAAATGCAGCCCACATAAACAACATTTGTTTCAATGAATTTTAAAGATGATGTTAAAGAGAGTGATTAAAAAAAACTATGGATAATAGAATTGGTGTTTATAGAGGAGGGAAAGGGAAAAAAAACACTTTGGGAGTTGGAGTTTTTGAAAGGACAAAAAATCATTGGTATAAAATGGTTGTATAAAAAACAATTAAAAGACAATGATAAAATTAACAATTATAAAACAAGCATGATAGCTAAAAATTACAAGTAAGAGTACGGTGTTGATCACAAAAAAAATATTGCTCTAGTTGCGAGGAATGATGCAATAAGATTGATTATTGATTTGGCAACTTGAAATTTATGATTTATCTTTCACTTGGATATGAGTCAGTTTTTCTCCATGGAGATCTTCAAGAATAGATATTTATTGATCAACCTTTAGGATATGTGAAATTTGATAAAAAGCATGAGTTATATAATTTGTAAAATATTTTGTATGGGTTAAAGTTCTAAGAGCTTGATATAGTCATATAAATACTTATTTATTGAATGAATGATCTAAAAGTTGTACAATATATTTTTTATTAAAATTAAAAATGGAGGAAAGATGTTATGTTTGGAGAATTTAAAAGGTTCATGATGACTAAATTTGATATGTCAATCTTGAAAAGTTATATTATTTTCATGATTTTGAAGTGGTTTAATAAAATGTCAGAATATTTATTTCTTAAGAAAGAAATGTTTGAGAAATTTTAAAGAAGTTTAGAATAAAGAATTGCAATTCGATAAGTACACCAATTAAATTTAGTTTGAAGCTAAATAAGGATAATGGAGGAGAAAAAAGGTTGACTACATCTTTATAAGCAAATTGACGTGAAACTCGTGATCTTATCGAAACTCACAGCAACATTGATAGTGAATCTCGAAAAGTTGAAACAGGTTTGATAAGAGTATGACACAATTAAAACTTATCCCAAAACACCAACATTATTGCAATAAAAATCTTCACCCTACAAATACCAATTCACGAATAAAAAATACAAGAAAGACACTACAAAGCTAATTAATCTTCAATAAGTCAATTTAGTCCGTTAAATAATCAAAAAATATGAAAATCTCTCTCACAAAAGTAGAATAAATTCAATAATAATAGTATTATCAATTCTTCATATTTTGTGCTTACAAAGAGTATTTATATTATTGGGAAAAAAAGACCTTAATACTAATGGATCAAATATGCATTTAATTTAAATAAAAACCCAAAATAATTAAATTAAAGATTAAAAATAAAAAACAATAGTCTAAATTATTTTTCACCCTTTTTCCATGTATGATAGTGAAAAATATTAAGATAAATAATTGTTGAAGAATCCTTGTTGAACACAGGTTTGATGCCTTATAAAATAAAAAATAATTCTTGACTAGTTAATTCTTCTTATTTGATATGGAATCCTTGTAAAATAAATAAGTTAAAAGTTGTTATATAAGTTCCCAATAGTATTAAAGACTCTTTGTAGTGAATAAAATCTATAACTTTTAAGAAAACAATATCTTATTTTGTTTTCGTACTTTGTTAACATATTCTAAACCCAATTTTAAACATATCATTCTTTCTTGTCCAGATTAATTATCGGGCCTACCATATATCCTTGGAATGGTACAAATATCTATTTTCCAACTCATTTGAATCATATCAAAACTCCTTTTGTAGCTTTAGATATGACCTTAAAAATAGACAAAGGTGCAAATTGACAAATTTGAACCATTTTTACCCAAGTCTCTTAACTTAACTAATTGAACTATCCTGAATTCATTTTATTTTAGGCTTATAATAGATTCAATGAACACTCTAATTGATTATAGACTTAACTTAGCTAATTGAACTATCCTGAATTCATTTTATTTTAGGCTTATAATAGATTCAATGAACACTCTAATTGATTATAGACTTAACTTAGCTAATTGAACTATCCTGAATTCATTTTATTTTAGGCTTATAATAGATTCAATGAACACTCTAATTGATTATAGACTTAACTTAGCTAATTGAACTATCCTGAATTCATTTTATTTTAGGCTTATAATAGATTCAATGAACACTCTAATTGATTATTTAATGTCATATCTAGAATTGCATCACAAATTATAAGGAGTTTAATGTATTTGACAACAATAAAGTTAAATGTAATGTATTCAGTAAGTATTGTTAGTAGATATATGAAGAATCCAATATAATTTTATCTTTTAACTGTTAAAAAGATATTTTTGTATTTGAAAGATACTGTGGAGTTATAGATTGTTCTATATAAAAAAAAAGATAGATTTGATAAGAGATCAAGATAATAGAAGAACTTATGAGTTTGTTTTTAAGATTAATTCAAGCGTTATTTCATGCTCTTTAAAGAAGCAATCAACTATCACTTTTTAGAAATAATTTTTAGTTATTTTCTTGTGTGTGTTTCCATCGGATTAGCGGTGAGAACAAGGTTGATATGTTGGTCGGCTAGTGTGGAAAAAGTGGTGGTGTTAAGGCTGATGTAGTTGTTGATCTTGCTTTTTCTTTTTTTAATCTTTTCTCTAGTCTTTAGGGTTTTTCTCTCTCTTTTGTTGGTCTCTTTCTGTTTTGTGTAGGATTTTCTCTTATTTATATTATCAGGACTTCTCTCACTATTAAAAAAATAAAAAACTACTATTGAAAGATTTTATTTAGAATTTTTGCGGTCTTAGTTTGATTCACTATTTATATTTTCCTTTTTTGTGTATTTTTTTATTCATATATAAAGAGAAAAAATGAATAAATTTTTTTTTCTTGCCTCTCATTTCACTTTTTTATTTTTTACTTTTCTATCTTGTCACATGGAATAAAATAAAATAAATAAAAGTGTCAAGAATTACAAAATTATGAAAATTGAGTGAATTTTATTGAAATTATATTTTTTGGAAATAAATGAAAAATTTAAGGGTTAAAAATGGATTATGTCAATATGATGCTAATGATGAAGATGGTGAAAATAGGACTACTAAATTAACATTAATTTTTAATTTATTGATAAGTAATGATAATTATAATTAGTGATAATAACATGATAAAGGTGATTACAAAAAAACAATGATACAGAGATTTTAAATTTATTTGCAAAGGTTAAAAAGCTAATGATGGTAGTAAAATTAATAACCACGGACGGTAATATTAAAATAGAAGATGGTGGAAGAGAATCGATAATTGATAATTATATGCGTGAAGAGAATCTAGAATTAAATATGTTTGTCAAGGTTCATGGTGGAGTTAATAATGATGGTGAAAATATTAAAATAGAATATGATGATATTTTAACGAGGCTTGTTTAGAATATTTGTTTTTAAAATAGTTTTTATAGTTATGGTTTGAAAAAATAAATTTAAAAAAAATATGGTTAGTTATAATTAGATATATATTTGATAAAAATTATGGTTAAAGTTTATATATAATAAAATATGTATTAAAATGTTTTTTAAAAGTGTGATTGTAGTTTTTTAAAAATATTTTTTATTTAAAAATGTATCAAAATAATTATTTTATTTATTTTTAAAAAATTATTTTTGATATAAACGCATCAAAATAATTTAAAAATACTAAAAAAATATTAACTTAAAGCAAAGAAAAAATAAAAAAATTCTCAATTTTTTTCATAAACACTTTCAAAAATACAAAAGTAAGCACCGAAGGGCTTGGCCTAGCGGTGGCAGGAGCCTCGCTCCTTCTGCTGCGCATGGGTTCGAGTCCTGGCGTTGCACGTCTGTCAGCCCCGCGCTGCCTTACCTGCCTGCTGGGTTTGCAGGATATTCAGTAGGCCGTGGGGATTAGTCGTGGTGCGCGCAAGCTGGCCCGAACACCCCACGTTAATCAAAAAAAAAAAAAATACAAAAGTAAACAATATTTTACAAAACTTAGTTAAAAAGCATATAAAACCTGCATTTCAAACTTAATTTTTTATTAGATCCACAATATAAAACACAATTTGATTTATTACTATAAATTACTACGTTTTGTTATACCACAAGTGCAAAACAAACACAGCCTTAGTTGGTGGCTTTAATTTGACAGTTTCAACTTTCAATGGCCCCCCTGCAATGGAAGTAAAGAGCAATCGGCAAAATAGGGAGTTGTTAAGGTGCCATGCAATCGGCCGAGTATTGCGAACCCAAAGACTTGCAAGCTCACCCTTTTTGCCCATCTATTTAAGGCTATATGCCCAAAGGCTTGTACTTGATCATCTTGATCCTGCGTTTAGGAATGTAGACTACCAGATTCCTTAATTTTTAGAAGATTGTCCCGAATAAGTCGACCTTCCAATCTGCTGCCGAATCCATGGGCAGGCAAGAAACAACCTAGCGAAAGAAAGCGAAAGCCATCGTAGCGGTGAGCGAAATGGGAGCTATGGAAGAGGCAGCTGTAGTCTTTACACGAGATACACATCCACCTCCTTCACATTCAGATGAACTCTAGCGATTGCTTCCAGTTTCAACGAACAGCCTCAATTAGTCAACGAAGGCAGCCTTACCCTTACAGAACGGAGATGCTGATGCTCACTGATCAATTGGTCTGTGTGGACCAATTTCTAGGGGGGATATTTAAGAAAAGAAAAGAAAACTGTAAATCCATTTCACTAGTGACAACACTGAAACACGACACTAAATCCAAAATTTTCACCAGAAAGATATTGAGCTTGTTACAGTACATCCCCAGCATAGCAATCACATATCATTTGCCTTTATGAAGATTTCAGAGTAGTAATGAGGACCAACCAAAACAGATCTTTAAGATAGATTAGGATCTATTAGCATTCAATCCTCTGAGAAGCCGTTTCCAATACACCACATGATCGATACCGACTTGCCAACTTGCATCTTTTCAGTTGCTAAGAAGATCCTCTGGTTTTTGACTGCCTTTCTTTCTCATGATCTAGTTCTAGGCATCACTGTTAACCGAGATGAGGAAATGGATTGTAGGACTAGACTGCCTGCAGGCCATGTAAAACAATGTCACACTGAGTGCACAATCATCATGAATGCATGTCATATTAGAATACAAAAGTTTAACCTATCAAAGAAAAAAATGTTGGTAGAATAATTCAAATTTGAAGGTTATTATGTCATTCACAACACGTTATTGAAAGACTAATTGCATTACATGACAGGAATACTATCAAATCATGAACACGTAATAGTTCTTTACTCAACATCCTGCTTGAAGATATCATGCAGGGTTCGATGATTGACCAGGAGCATCATGGAACAGATCAGATAAACATCAAAATCACAAAATACAATAATCCAAAGAAGTTTGCCACAAAATTCCAACAGATTAGAGGGGGAATATGCACACTTCAACACGAATTAAAACATGGATAAATCTTTAATTCATGCTCATATTTTATACAACAAAATCACCCTCTATATTCCATTGTCACAATCAAAGGATTGCTCGGTTAAAGTCACGTTGGAACTAAGAGGTGAAATATAATTACAGACACAATCAGGAGTCAGGTCAGGGCACAACATGAATTAAACAATCCATGAATTTTATTTCAAATTTATCCCAAGGATAGTATAGAGAGTACCTAATATGATCCTTCACTAAGGGCACAAAAAAATGCTGTGAGAAAATAAATGTAACGTAAGTGGAAAATGATAATCAAGTAAAAGAACATACAACAAATACTCCAAAACCTATGGATCACCTTAAAAACCTTGGAAACTGCCTCAGCATTATGTAGAGCTGTTCTGTGGTTCATCAGCATTGACTTCACCACTAGAGGTCCCTTGGACATTTGCAGCCTCTGATGCAGGACCCGATCCTAATAATAAGGGGGTTTGTTTATTTTCAGTACTGGAATTTTTATTAGCATCAGGTCTAGCAGCCCGAGCTCTAAGGGGAGGTTCAAAATGCTTGCTGGCAACATCAGGAGGAGATGAATCTTCTCCAGGGAGTACAAGAAGCCCCTTATCATGTAGAGATGATGGTTCATTGTAGCAAGTGTCCCAGAGGGTGTCTACAAGCTGTCTTTCCTCCATAGCTGCCCCAAGCTCATCAGGTGACATCAGGCTGATACCATTAATCCGTTCTTCAAGGAGTTGCTTCAATTTTTCATCATCCTCACCTAATCTACCAGTGTTCCCATCTATTTTGTTTTGAGCAAGCTCAAGAAGGCCACGAAGGGCAGCTTCTCGTACTTCTGCATCTTCACTTGAGGCAAGGTGCAACATTATGCGTGGGAATCCCAGCTGGCTGACTATGCTGCAATCTGAACTATTCTCATGCAGTAGGTAGTGGATCAAGTTCAATGCTTTCCTGAAAATTTAATTTTATAAGAAACTAAAAATGGAGAACTAAATCAAGAATCAATTCAGTCAGTCTTGGAGCTACTGGAAAAATAAAACTCTCATTGTTTCAGTTGAACAACAGGTTTTGATTTCTTTAACTGTTTATAATGAATTAGCACTGCCAAATTCATCAGCAGTCAAACAAAAAGACTATTTGCAGCATAACAAGTACCACTCCAAATACCTTTGAAATCTCACATTCTCAGAACCCAGGGCATCTCTCAGAGCTGCAAAACCATTTCCTAGATGAAAGGCAGCAATACCTGGTTTGTTATGTCGGACTAAAGCTGAGAATCACCAACAATAAATCTCACATTAAGATCCTTCTAAACCAAGGAATGCAGTGAGTGGACACAACCAACTTGCAAGCTGTAACAGTCAAGATTGACACATACAAAAGAAAACAGTACTTACATGATATTGCACCTAGCGCTTTGGTTCTTACAGTCACATCAGGATCTGAAGTGAAATTAGAAAGCAGAGGCTCAAAACCATTTGCTTCCATAACCATTTGCTGACTCCTAGGGTTGTTCTGGACAATGGTGGTTACAACTTCAGCAGCCTTTGCTCGAACACTAGCATGGGTGTTCTTCAGAAAACCAAGGAGAGGGACCAAACCACCGATCGAATGAAGATCTGCACATATGCATACATAACAGAATCTGTACTTGTAAGAGAGACAAAATCAACTGATTTATTGCATATTGATAAGTACATATCCAAGGAAAGATGCAATCAAATTTTCATATATAGTAATAACTCCACAGGCATATTCATTCAAATTTGTCAAAAGATAGCTAAATCATAAAACATGTCATCATGCAACCCATGCAAGTAGATACTCCACAAATTTCCAACTTAATCAGAACGATCCAAACTGTCACAATTTGCAATAAACAGAAACATAAAAGGAGCCGTAACAGTTTAGAGCTGTCTTGCACAGTGTTACCCACAGTACAAAATATTCCCTGCCAATTGCCAACAATATCAACTACGAAGATGTTGACAGAGAAAAATATTGACTACAGGGCTAGGTGAAGATGGGACATAAAAATATTGACTACAAGAAAAAGGTATCAAAATGCCAGGAGCATCCCGATGCTAACCATACATACTCGGATGAGCAGTTTCGATATGTACAAGACAATAATAAATAAATAAATAACAAAGCCAATCTGAGAAATGAAATAAGAGAATATGTGAGAGACAAGTGGGTATTTGAGGTTGCCAAGATATACTAAGACAAAACGTACCATTGGCCATGTCAATGGACTCAACATGTTCCTGCAGCTCATCCAACAAATCTGCCAAAGAACAAGTTCATTACATAAGTAATTACAAATCCAAATCATTAAGACCCAACAAAGAGTACCTTCAATATCAGCAGGAGTAACTCCTTGAGATTCCAACACTTGTTCTGGGGTTCGCATCACAAGAGTTATCTCCTTCATTCTCTTTATCACATCAACGCTCTGTGATTGCATAGCTTCCGTAAACCATCTTCTATCCTCCTCACTGTCATTACACAAATTCAATGCATTTTTCAATCTTTTTCTATAAAAAAAACAACTAATTCTTCTCAACATCAATAAATGATTACCTCAGATTGCGATTTGGAGCAGTCCCATCAGAATGGGCAAGGCTCCACTTGAGCAATCCGTCCCAGTTGGGTCCCTCTTTTGCCATGCCTCTTCTACTTCACTAATACCTACTTCCTTCAAACCCTAAAACTTGTTTGCCCTTTTTAAATTGCGGAAATACAAATAAAGATAAAGGGTATGGAAATAAGCATAAATAGAAGAGAAGAGAGAAGAAACAAAAAGTAGGCGAAGCAGACGAATACTGATTGACTATTTCGGTAACACTCTCCAGGTTTCCGGTCTCGGTCAGATCAGCCCACACAAAAGCAAGGGCTGTGAGCGGTGTACAACAAAATGTCATGGGCCTGTCAGGACGTGGGGTCTTCGATCTAAGGCCATCTATTAAAGTGGGGTAGTATTGTTCCCCGTGTTTCGGGGTATTTAGTGTTTACGCAGATGTGTTATCATAATTGTTTTCTAAAAATTATTTTTAAATATATTAAAATAATTTAAAAATATTAATTTTTAATTAAAAATTAAAATTTTTTGAAACAATTTGCATTTCCAAACACTTCGGATAATCTAGTATATACAATTAATTATTCGGTTGTCATGTAAAAGCGCAATAATTGTTAATTATATGAATTGTTAATTTATGTAAGTAGTGGATTGTTAGTTAATTATACTCTTATTTAAGTTGTTATTGTGAATGAAAAGGTATCTAAAATTTCATTTAATATGAGTACTTTAAAGACTTAGCTCTCTTAAAATGGCTATTTATTTATTCTTTATTAATAAGTCTTTTACAAATAGTAATAGAGTGGTTTGGTTCATGGCTAAAGGGCACAATACACATGAAATATCTTTAAAAAAAACTAAACTTAAAAAAAATAAATAGATCTGAGATAATCCCAGTCATTTTGAAAATCAATGAAAAATTTTATAGAAATCAAATTAAAAAAATTAAAGAAGTTGAATCTACAATTAAATGAATATTGAAATATGAAACTAAAAAAACATGAGCTTATTATAAACAAAAAGCAACCAAACCCAGGTGAATCACTTAAATATGGGTTAATCTCTAAAACTTGCAACTCATACTCATACTCAATTAATAAGCTCAATTTCTTATCAATTTAATGTAGAATGATGAAATCAAAAAAAAAATCAATTTAAAAAATTTATCAAAGTGAAAAGGATAACAATCAAAAAAATAAGGATCAAATTTAATAAGAAAAACACTTAAGAATAATGAAATTATAGAAAAAAAATTAAAAATTATCTCAAATAAAACAATAATAATCAAAATAATAGGGGAAAATTTTAAAAATAAAAAAACTAGAAGGGAAATGAAATTGAAAAAGAATTCAAATTTGATAAATTATTTCAAATAAGACAAATAAAAAAAATGAGGACAAATACAAAGAAATAACAAATTAAATGACTAATTTAAAATTTTAAAGGGATTGACCTAAAAATTAAAGAGGAGAGAGGGACAAACGATAAACCAGATGATTGTAAACCATACAAACTACCTCATAACTAAAGAGATGCTGAGATTATTCGATCATGACTATGAAAGGTAATGTTTAGTCAAAGAATAAACCAATAGGTATTGCTCAGTTGTTGACACGTGTAATAACATGACCAAAAAATTGATATCTTCTCCCAAGTGCAGGAATGTCGAAGTAATAAATAACTCGGTAAGACCGTGGTCGAACCACAGGGAGGTTAATTGTACAAATTATAGATAATAACAATACAACAACAACAATAACAATAACAATAACAATAACAGTAGTAGTAGTAGTATTACTATAATAATAATAATAAAGAATAAGTTGATGAAAACTTTGAAATGAAAGATTAACGTAAAGATTAAATAATGATAACAACAAATGTCAAGGTTAGAGGATCCACTAATAGTATATCAAATAAGTATAATATAAACTTTTATTACTCAAATGGAAACCACACACAAAGGAGGTTCCAATTAGATTATAAATTATTAACATGATTATATTAGTTATCTTATTCGATTAATGCTAATACTTGTAAGTCTTGTCAAGTATTCATTATTATAACTTATATTAACAACAAATCAAGTTCCTTTCATAGCTCAGGTGTCGGTTATACCATGCAATATGGGCTATGAAAGTGTCAAACATTTGATGTACCAAGTGTTATATAACATAAATCTAGATTAGTCATTTAACAAGCAAAGTATTAAAGAGTGAACAAGATAACAAATATAAAACATGTTAGTATCAAACATTAAAGTCCATGTTAAGTTTATACTATACTTATTCTTACACCATTAGTGTAATCTTTTCACCTTGACATAATAAATTTAACTAAACATAATGAAAGAAAAAAATAAATAAACAAAATAAGAATATAAATAAGATAAAAGTTAACTAAGTAAAGGAAAGGAATTGAAAGGCATAAATTTGATATTAATGAAAACAAAACATAAGCAATACAAAAAATACAAAGAGAGAAAGCAACAGCATGATCTTGATATGGAAATCAGGACGCCTAAATGCATGGCAAATGCCTCTTTTTATATGCCAAAATTGAAAACTATTGATTTGATGACTAATTGATTAGTGGGTGGCTAACTCTTGACTTGGTGACAATTCTTATCTTTTTTTGTCTACCCAAAACGTCATTGACAACTTCAAAATTGGAACCACTTGAAAACATGAAAGTTGTAGGAAATTATCTCAACTTTCTTGGGTAAAAATTTAAGATCATTTGGACTTTTATAACTCCAGATATGGGTCAAACACTGAACAGTTCTCAGGCTAAAGGATAGATTCGGACTTCTTTGTTGTTGCTATAATTTGTACTTGAAAATAGCCTTTTTAAATCTTGAACTCCATATAAAAGTTGTAGGTCTATGTCTTACCTTTCCATCCATATAAAGTAGACCTAAATCTGAGATCTACAACTCCAAATATGACCCAATTACCAAACAGTGTTCTGGTTTGGACTACACCGGCATCTCTTTATCCTTTTAATTTTAGTTATTAAATTTATCAATCAATCATTTTATTTATGTGATAGGCCTGCATTTAAAATGAACATTTATCATAAATTAAAGGTATCTTATATTATTAGATATGTGATTATAAAACATGCTTTAATTAAGGAGTTATTGATACTTTAAGTGCAAAATAATAATATCAAACCTTGATAAAATTCACTTTTAAGTATTAATCATGTAATGTATGCGTCAACCATTTTTTAATATTATTAAACTATAAAATTTCTCTCTTGATGAGAATGCAAAATGTCATATTTTTCTCCCTTAATGTTTAGACTTTTATAATTATTTAGTGCCTAAATATATTCATTATTTTTATATTTTGATGTAAGGTGTATATGGAGATGATAAAGGCAAAACGATGCATATTGGGTAATTTTGAATAGTTTTGACATTACTTTGTAATTTGAGCATAATTCTCTCATCTTAATTCAATCTCCGATTAAGATTATTCAAGATGATATGGAACACTAAGTAAAAGCTCTATAACTTTCATGTGTTGAGTTTTGAGAGATACTGACTGTATTGAGGTTGAAATGGGGTATAAAGTTGTTGTACTTGTACTACCAACATGTTGAAATGTTTTTTGGCTTGTAAATCTAATATATAGACCTAATATGATTTATTTTTGAAAGCTTTCAAATTTGATGCATGAATTTTAGCTCAAAATATAATTTCCATAGATATATTAGGACTCAACTTTATTGTTTAATATTTTTCTTAGTTATTCAAATTTGGTTGTTATTATTTGAAGATAATATTTAGAATATTTTAAGAGATTTAAGGGGCTTCTAATATAGAGATGACTTTAAAAGGAAAAAAAAACTATGGATCTTATTCTTCCCTCTTCCTTAACAAATGCTTCAAGTTGTAATTTGCTACTATATTAGATATTAAATTCATAATTGTTTGATCCCTCTAAGCTGTGAAGTAGCTAAAATTTAATGATTTGTTGCATCATTAAATTAAATGCAATTGCTTGTATTTATGCTATTTATTTTTATCGATCTCTCTAATTGTTAAGGCATGCTTGTCTTGAGTTGTTTAGTAGTCAAGATTAATCCAATTGCTCATTTCTAATTAACTATAGTGGTGAAAATAATTCCAATAGAGAAAATTCAAAGTGTGAATTGATATATACTTGCATTGATAATCAATTGTAAAAATTTTGATGCTGGATATTGACTTTATGAAAACCCGATAAATTATAATTTGAACCAAGTAAATAAAATATTAAATAGAGTAAATAAAAGGATTTATAGGATACAATAGAATAAAAGAGAAGGTGTTATAGTGTAAATTAAGTGGAAAAAAAAATAAATGCACAAAATAGAAATAAAAAGTAATGAGGGTCAATTTGTAAATATATAAAAATTAAGACTATAAATGCTCCATTTCTTCTCTATTGACCGATGGTTTGAAACAATTTATAATATCCCACATCGGTGGATGAGGGAGTGGTAGTTGACTTTATTAAGAGTGTTGGTTGTTGACTTGTCATACATGTTCTTGGGCGTCAGGCTCAAAAGTGGGCTCATGTCACCAGAAACAAAATTGTGAGGGCAGTAAGACCCAAAACAGACAATATATGGCAGGTTAAGTTAGGTTGTTACACAAAAAAAAAGGAGAGGATTTGTGTGATTCTTTTTGTACTTAAATTCTTGTTGATTTCACTTATAAAAGTGTATAACCAGAGTGATTAACTTAGTTAAACATCAAGAAAGGTGATTTTAATGTGGTGAGTGCTTTCGAAAAAGAAATTCAAGCTAGGGCTTGAAGAGGTAGGAGAAGAAAACTTAATTTTTTATAGTATTCTTTCCTTGAATCATTATCAAAGTAAGCTAAATAACATGCTCTAAGTGATTAATTCCTTTAATTTTATGTTTGATGAAGGATTATATAGAATTGTGATTATGTGAAAATATGGGTTTATGATATAAATTGTAGCAATAATGTAAATTATTATTTAACCATGTTAGATTATAATTGAACCATGTTAAAAAGCATGAATTATGATTAAGTATGTGTTTAATTTTGAATAAAAAAAAATAAAATTTCTTTCCTTTTTTTTATTAGAATTGTCAGCCAAAGAAAAAAAAAAGGCAATTTAATGTTTTAATGTAATTGTTTGGAAAATATAGGTTTGTAAGTGTTATTATATGAAATGAGTAAGAATTTTCAAAAAGAAAAGAAAAATCCTAACTTTCTTCTTTAGGTGAATTTTGGCTAAAAGAAGAAGAAAATTAGGAAAATTGAGTTTTGATAAAATTATTAAGAAATCTTGTCAAATTATAAATAATTGATGTTGATAAGTTAATTGAATAATGATTTTTGTAAAAATAATTAAAAAATAGAATTTTATCTTCCTCGAATTAAAAGTTTAATCAAACTTAATTAAAGGTGTTAAGTTTAATCAAGAAATATATAATTGGTATTCGAATTGTACTGGTTCAAATGAATGAACAATGATATACTAAATTGTGTTAGTATAGAGAAGACCATAGGACCTAATCAGCAACAAAAAATCTCTTTGCACGCACAGATATGAGATAAGTGTTTGACACCTTAAATTAACTAAATAGCTTTTTTTTTAATGATTATATAAGGATTTTTTTTTGTAGATTATAATTTAGTATAAGTTTTTTTTTTAAAAAAAAGAGATAATTTAATGCCTAACTGAATGGGCGAGTTTAAAAAATTATTTTCTGGTTATTGAAAATAATATCCTATTAAATGGACAAGTTGAGAAGATTATTTCTTCAATGAAAGGATTGAAGAAAAAATGGCTAAGTTAAAAGAATTGATTTCTGGGTTAATGAGATAAATATTTGGCATAATAGATAAATTGTAAAATATGTGGGTTATTAGAGACACCCTTGGTATTTTCATGAATTTTTTAATCTAAAAATCATATTAAAAATTTATGAAATTATTAAATTACTAAAGATAAGATAATTTATTTAATGACACGAGAATTATTTTAATATACATGAATAGTTAGTCCTTAATTAATTATTTATCGACATGTGCAATTTTAATCATATTTAATATAATCATGTTTTTAGGTGCATCACACCTTCAAACCGGAAAATAGATGCATGGACAGATAATTTTGTTAAGAAATTGATGCAAGTGGAAGAACTATTATTTTATTATAATATATTATTATGTTTAAGAATTGTAATGTTTAACTTAATTATTTATGTATCATGTAATTTATGATGTTGTCATTATTAAGTTGAATTACGGTTGGTTATATATATATATATATATATATATATATTTATATTTATGTATCATGTAATTTATGATGTTGTCATTATTAAGTTGAATTACGGTTGGTTATATATATATATATATATATATATATAATTTTAGCAGAGTTTTCTTTATATTTTTTTGATATCAAGTTATCGGCTCAATATTTCTCAACCTGTAAACATCAATTATAATTTTAGTCCTATCATTTGGATTTTTAAAACTCAACCATAATATCAATATTTCATTTCTATTTTCTATAGAAAAATTATTTAAAACTAACTATTTCATAACATTAGTTCATAACATACATTGATTTCTTTTAAAGGTAATTGTGCTTAATATATATATAATGGTAACTACAAATATATCTCATATAATTTGGGGTTATATAATTGGGGTAGTTGTAGACTTAGATCAAAGTTTGTTCTTCTGGTTAATTTCAATCTTTTAATTAGAATTGTTCTCTAGTTGTTTTTTTTATGTTTTTTCTATACTCGTAATCTCATTCATCCTTGTTCACTCAACAACACTGAAGTAGATATTATTCATGAGAACGATTCTTACTTATACCACTACATGTATTTTTAAGAGTTCAGGTTTTATATTTGAATGTCTACAACAACACACCAAATCTTTTAAAAACAATCGTTAGTTTTTGATAGTTATGATTTCGACATATTTCTAATTTTGTTGGAACTAGGCCTTGATTTTATAGTGTTTTAAAGGTAAATGACATTCCAATCAAGACTAGTTGCCTTTTAAGCTATTAGTCCCACCTTCTCCGAGCCAAATTCCATTGTTTTCTAGGATTTTTAGGCATTTTTGTGTTTTTATATAGAATTTTTATTTATTTTCATTACTCTAGATTGTTTTTCTTAATTTGTTTTTCATGGTTTATTAAAGCTTCGTTGATTGTTTATGATTGAAACTTAATCTTTTAATTAAAGAGATTTGTTGTGTGATCTAAAAATAGAGAGAACCTTGCATAAGTTGAGGAAGGAAGCTCGAAAGAAATCCTAAAGAAAATAATCTAACTTTTGATTCTCTTTTTGCTAGCGATTTTGATCTAGGAGAGAAAATTGAACTTTGAAGGTGCTTGTCGTCTCTAATTCAAATCAACAACCCTCGTTCATAATATTCCTTACTTTAGATGCTACTAGTAGAGGAGCTTTGGTGGATAAAACTCTTGAGGCCATGAGCTTAAAATCAAGATAATTCAACAGATAATAAAGTGAAAAAAACCACAAAACTCAAGGATTAATAATTTTTTATCAAATGATAAAATTAAAAAAAATATTAAAAAAACCAAGTCAGTTAAGGTTAACTTGACTAACCTATGACTTAGGATATGAGATTAGGATATCCTCGTAGAAAGGCAAATAAAAAACAATCATGAAACTCAAGGTGCAATAAATGATAAAATTAAAAAAAAATCAATTTAAGAAAAAAAGACATAAGTTAAATCAAGCTACTCTTCAAAATTAATGACCTTAGATCATAAAACAAAGATTACTCAATAGAAGGTAAAAAAAAAAAAAATCAAAAGCAAAATTCATAATCATTAACAATTAAAAAAATATATATTAATTAAAATAATAAGAATCAAATTTATTACAAAAACTAAATGAAAGAAAACAATGAGTGACTAAATTGAAAATAAAATAAATTAAAAAAATGATTAAAAAAACAACAATTAAAAGAATAAAAATCAAATTGGATAAAAAAAAATGTCAAGGGATAAAATTGAGAAAAAAAAATCAAGAATATAATTTTAAAAAATAGCTATAAAAAATAATGATGAAATTAGATATAAAAATTAAATTAAATAAAATACTAAAGAGCAAAATTGAAAGAAAAAAAAGGTAAAAAAATAGAAGCAAAACAAAAGGCAATTAAAAAAATTAAAATTAAAATTAATGCAAATATAAACTGCTGCATACATTTAATTTTGAAAAAAATTGGTACAAAATTCAAGGAGCGAAAAGAGTGAAAAAAAAAAAACCATCTACCATGCACATGCTCCCAATCGTCTCGAAGAAAATATGGCATTTGAGCTGCAAGAGATATTGTAAGCGCCACGAGCGCCGTATACATTGTAAAATTACAAAAAAAAATCCCTAGATATCTTTTTTATTTTTTTGGCTTTTAAAAATAATAATCATTTCATTGAGCTGGCAAAACAGTAAACAATTGAATAACCCCGGGACCCTAGTTTTGTGTCTTGTTGCGGTGTTCTGATACCTTTGTTAATATTATTACATCGAAAGTTGTCTTCGAACATCGCATGTAACCTGTCCACGGGTAACTTCAAGTTTAATGTTACCTCGTCATCATCTAATTTGAATCATAGGTAGCCAGTGAGTAATACGGAATCAGCATGCATTCACAAGTCCACTAAATCCCCCATACTAGTTCTACAAAACCAAGATGCATCTAGAAGACATGTCACGTGAAATCACCCTCACAAATTTTCACCAGCAGCGGATATGGGAAAACCAAATTACTTCAATGAAAGTGGCACGCTATACAGCCATCAATCCACAAGGATTTTCATAAGAAAAATCCAGAGGAACTTTAAGTACATTGCAGAAGAAACATTGACGAAAGTTATTTCCTATTCAAAAAGACATTCAACCAAATTCATGAGTCAAAATTTTAAGTATTATCCTATGTGCTGCACTTGTAAAACTCTTGAGTCTTGAAAATAACAAAACAAAACTCATCAACAGCTCTTCAGGGCTCTGTGATGGGGAAATCAAAAACCACGTCTTTCCCTGTAAGCTTCCTGTATACTCCAGCAAATGACTCCAGCTTGTACTCGGTGTTATTGCGCTCCTTGGGATCCAAGAAGATCTGACAAACAAACCAAACAAAATTGAGAATTAATGAGAAGGGCAAAAACTATGGTGATAGAGAATACAATTCCAACTATAATTTTCTGTTCCTTTGTCTTAAAGTGTCAAAGCTACCTTACTAATTTTGGATCCATCAATCCTGTATCTGGTGCGCTTTCCAACAATCTCAGCAGGATAAACTAAATCCTCAAGCATGGCTTCATGCACGGCAGTTAGGGTGCGGGAGCGGGGACGCTGAACAGCAGAGCCTTTCTTGGGTGGACGCACAATCCTCCGGGTAGCAAGCAGAACAACATCCTGCCAAAATATCAGAGGAATTGAAACATGAATCAGAATTCAGATTCAAACAAGTATTGAATTGAAACTGGGATTGACAGAGTATATTAACCAGGATTAGGAACTACAAATGCTAAGCATCTCCTTCTATGGACTTGAACCTTCAGTCTTGAGGTTGCAAGCTCTAAACTTCATATTCCCCCCTCTATTACACATGTAGAAAACTAAGAATCTGAAATAAAATTACCTTCCCACTAAACTTTTTCTCCAGCTCTCTGACAAGACGAAGATGAATCTTGCGATAAGCCTTCCTTAGTCTATAAGGAACATAAATGACAATAGCTTTGCGATTTCCAGCAACGTCTATTTGACTGCAAAATTTGCAAAGTTTAAATTTAGCAAATAGACCTGGCACCAGAGGAAAAGCAGAAAATTGATAGAGGAGAATGGAAAAGTTTCTTGTAGAACACACATAAAATTATGTACGTACACTGCAGAATTTATGAAGAGATCCTTTAGATCAGTTTTCAGTTCTGAGCTGGTATTTTCCAAATCAAATAATGCCTGCAGAGAAGAAAGCATTTAGATTTTGACATATTTAATTCGTTTAAACAATGAATCCAAAGAAAACAGATTGAATAGTAATGAACTAACTTGGGCAACAGTCTCCTCAAACTCAGTGGGTTCTGCATCCTTGTCTTTCTGGATCTTCTTCCTTGTGGTGAACATCTTCGCAGATCTGGTTAGCAACAGCACAAGAATAGATTCAATGACGGAGCTGTAATTATCAATCCAATTTCATCATAACAAATAGTTCGACATCCATTATGAGTTGTCATCCTAATGAACACCTAATTTCCGTCATATATCCATAAGCATGACTCTTTCTCTATTTGTTCAGAAATAAACTAAGAGTTAGTGAACAAAACATTCATGGATAATGAATACCGACAGGTAGTGTAATGTCAAAAAGCAGACCACACTTCAGACCTTAATACATACTAAATTAGCCCATTACTGCAACCAATGTTGGTTTATATGTCATCATGCTTAAACAAACAAATGGTCACTACCAAAGGAGAAACTAAAATAATCTACGTTAACCCACATGATGCAGCTGAAATAATTTTATAGATGTCTTTCTATCACAAAATTTAAACAACTACAGACAGCCTAGCAAATAATTATATCTTAAAATACAACAATCCAACACCTAAAACCAATCCACACAAGTCCTTTGCCACTAAAAATATTTCCTCTTCCATAATCTTAACACTAAAAAAATCCGTTCTCAATTCTCCGCTTTATCGTCTTTGTTCCATTTACCAACAAACCAATCACATTGAATCATAAAAACATCAATTGTACGAATTGACAAACGGAAACAAGATAAATGCATATCTATAATACAGTTGCTGAACTGTACAGTACACAGAACAGCTGCTTCGATCTTTCAAAGGAGTTCAACGTGAACCAATAAAAACCCATTTGCTTTGGAGAAAAGATACACCATCATTAGAAAACAGACGTCAAGATTCAAGCTTCTACAAGAACCCAGTTGACAAACAAGAAAAATAGAACAGCCCATTCGATATTAGAAGCTAAAAGAATCACAACAAGCAATTATATAGCAGGTTCAATCTGCTTGGCATTGATGAAAAGGAATTTACAGAAAATCCATTTTAGTTTTTGAGACTTACAAGGCAAGTAGCCGTCAGGAAACTGCTGATATGGTTGCTGTCGATGCTACTGCTTTTTTAGGCGGAGAGATCAAGGAGTGGCTCATAGCAGTTTTAATAGTATGGAGGGAGACTAAGAGATACACTTGCCCTATTTTGAACGGCTAGGATTTATTTAAGGAATTCGACACGAGCCGTTGATATTCTTGTCTTACTTAAATATAATTTAATTGCTTTTTAAATAATTTTTTGTATTAAAATATATATTAATAATTTTTTCAAAAAATTATTTTTAATATCATTACATTAAAATAATTTAAAAATATTAAAATTATATTAATTTAAAATAAATAAAAAATAAAAAAATTATATTTTTTCAAAAATATTTTTTAAACATATAGCTCATGAAAATGATTTTATAAAACATTATCCTTGTTATAAAATTTATTTTAAGATGAATGACAGATAAAATTTTAGAAAATGGTTAAGAATAAATAAATTCTCCAAGAAAATTAAGTCTTCTAACATGCAATCTAATATTTTCTTGCAAAATAAAATCTTCACAACTTTTAAGAAATAAGAAAATTTACAAGAACTAAAAGTTATAAAAATGTTAAAGAAACAAAATATCTTAAAAAGAAACTTTTAAGAGATAGATTATATAAATTTTCAGAGATTAAAATATTTTGAATATGATAAGCCATTAAAGAATTAGAAAACTTTTGATAAAAAAAATAAAATAAAAACTTCCTAGATTTATTTAAAGAAATAAAAGCAAACGCTCCAAATGCTAAACCATTTGGAATAAGAAATTCAGGGTTTTCCAAGAATTTTTGGTAATAATATATTTAAAAAAAAAATAATGGTTGAGAATTTTTTTAATATATAATTTTTATTTTAAAAACTATTTTTTTATTTTTTTTATTTCTTGAATTCTTTAAAATTCTATTTTAAAAATTATTGATATTTTTATTCATTTTGAATAATATTATCTATTATAATGTATTATGTTATATATTCTTTTTTTCTTCCTTCCAATAAAGAAAAAACACAATTAAAAACTTAATTTCAACTGGAGGTACATAACTGCCTCACAAATCAAATCAAATATATTCATCCAGTATTGTGATATTTAAGAAAAGTATGTTGTTTTAGGTGATGCCAAATAAAAAATAAGTAAAATGAAAAAAAGAAACTAAATAAACTAGAATGTAAAGAAAAGCTCATAAATAAGGCAATGAAAGAAAAATAATAATGAAAAATAAATTGCAAGAAAGCTATAAGAAAATTATATTTGTAGGGTTTACCATCTTTTCTAGTAACTTAATACCTATTTATATTGCTACAGTATTAGAATTTCATGTAAACACTTAAATTAATTCTTACACAAATTATTCATGTTAGATAAAAAGATTACATGATAAATCATGTTACATATTAAATTTTAATTTATTATGTGTTTTTTTTTCTAGTTATTGCATGAATCGTAACTTATTTTGCAAATATTAATTTGTTTTATTAAAGATTTTTACTCTAAATAGAACTGAATCTTTTAATTAATTAAATAAATTTATATCGTTTATCGTCAATATTTTTTTTATTTTTCCTTATCAATTTGAACCCTGCTAGGACTTAGTTGATTTCATTGTTAATAATTAGTTTTAGCCTTTTTTTTTCTTGTTTGATAATGAATAATTATATTTTTATTTAGTTGACACGTGAATGCTTATTTTAATATGGACAATTACTAGAACATTTTCTAACTTAACCTTTTAGTTTTTGAAAATTTTTAATGTTTGCATTGGTTGATTATAAGATAAGTAGCTGCGTAGTTTTTTAATGTTTGGACTTAAAAACAAAATAAAGCTACAAGTGACTACATAGTTTTCAAAAGAGACTAAAAGCCTTAAAAATCACACTAGTTTCAAAGAAAAAGATAAGAAATTGGTTATGTTAAATAAAAAAAAATCCTTTTTTTCTAAGAACAATTACCTTATATGTTTCGACCAATGTTTTAAAACCCGGCCCGGCGGGTCAACCTAGAACCCGGGGCTAGAATCGGGCCGGGTTGATGAAAAAATAGGATGAGCCATGACCGGCGACCCGGCTGACCCGGCAAAACCCGGTCAAAAATCCGGTTGCAACCCGTTGATTTTTATTTATTTTTTTATTTATCTTTTACTAAAACGACGCCGTTTTGAATTTTTTTTTAAAATAGAAATTGACCCGGCTGATGATTGATACTTAAAAGTGTATTTTTATCAAGGTTTTATATCATCATTTTGCACTTGAAGTATGAATAACTCCTTAACTAAAGCATATTTAATAATAATATATCTAATAATATAAGATACCTTTAATTTATGGTAAATATTCATTTTAAATGCAGGCCTATCACATAAATGAAAGGATTGATTGATGAATTTAAGAACTAAAATTGAAAGGATAAAGAGATGGTCAAACTTAGAAAAGAGATGCCGGTGCAATCCAAACCGGAACACTGTTCTGTAATTGGGTCATATCTGGAGTTATAGATATCATATTTAGATCTACTTTATATGGATGGAAAGGTAAGACATGGGCCTACAACTTTTATATGGAGCTCAAGATCTAAAAAAATCATTTTCAAGTCCACATTGTAGCAACAACAAAGAAATCCGAATATGTCTTCCAGCCCGAACACTGTTCAGTATTTTGGCCATATCTAGAGTTCTAGAAGTCCAAATGAGCTGAATGTTTTACACAAGAAAGCTGAGACAATTGCCTACAACTTTCATGTTTTCAACTGACTCCAATTTTGACGTTATCAATGACATTTTGGGCAGGCAAGAGAAGATAAGGATTGTCACCAAGTCAAGAGTTGGCCACCCACTTCTCAATTAGTCATCAAATCAATAGTTCCCAATTTTAGCCTATAAAAGGAGGCATTTTCCATACATTTAGGCATCTTGGTTTCCAGATCAAGATCATGCTCTTGCTTTCTCTATTTGTATTTTTTGTAATGTTTATGCTTTACTTTTATTAATATCAAATTTATGTCTTTCATTTCCTTTCCTTTACTTAGTTAATTTTTATGTTCTTATTTTGTTTATTTATTTTTCTTTCTTTCATAATGTCTAACTAAGTTAATTATGTCAAGGTGAAAAGGTTACACTAATGGTATGTCAAACTATGGTTTCGACCCTACATTCATTTTTTTAAATTATTATTTGTATGATTATTTTTTAAGTTATAAGTTTATTGTAAATTCAAAATTAATTTAAAAAAATTAATTCATCATATTTATTGTTTTAGCATCTTAGAATCCTAAATTGGAAATGTGAAAAGATTGAACTTTAAAAGTTTGTTTCATTTATTTTTAAAGTCTAGTCTTTTTATGAGTTTTAACACCAATCTAATAACAAAAAATTTCTTAATTAAACATTTATTATCTAGTTAATCACACAAATGTTGAAATAATAAATAATAAATACTAATTAAAAAACTTCATAATATTGAAAATAAAAATATGTATAATAATTATAAGGAATCCCATTGAGTAAATATTAGATCCCTAAAACAAAAAACATAATTCACTCTATTAGATTCTTTTACATAAATAGCACCATATTACTTCTCACGTGATTGCTTAAACTTTATATAATTATTCTTGGAATCATATCAAGTGGTTGATTATGAGGCTTGTCCACTTGGATTTAGATCCAATTAACATCATATATAAAATATACATGTGGAAAATATGAGAAAACACATGTATATGTTAGTCATGAAATAAAAATAAAGATGATTTAGTTGTAAATATAAAATTATAAATCCCTAACAAGCAAGGATAAGAATGAGCAATCATATGATTATTATTAAAACTTTTATAACAAATAAGACATGCCTTAGTAAAGAAAGCATACCTAGTGATTATTGGAAACAAGACAAGAATTAAAAAAGAGGGTTTAAATGTTAAAACCAACTTAAAATGTTTTTAAAGAAACTAGTTGCTACAAAAACTAGAAATAAAAATATTTAAAACAAAATTTTGACATTCATCTTGATTACAAATAATTCAAAAGTAAATTGATAGCCATAAAATTATAAAGAAGTATTAAAAATAAGATTCTCAAGTCTACACATACTTGAATATTTTGAAGTAAACTAGAAGTTATAAAAAATAGACATAAATGTTGAAATCAAGATTTTTAATGCCAACATTGACTAAAAATAATTTGTAAACAAAATGGTACATTTAAGAAACAACAAAAAAGATCAAAATAGGATTTTGACATTAAAACCCCACCAATATAGTTCTCAAATGATATCAATAAAAACAATAGCCAAATTTTGTTTAGTAATGATGAGAATATATATAAAAAACAACAAATTAATATATAAACATGCATACCAGCATAAACACAAAATGAGTAGGAAAATAAATTTCAAAATGAACAAGGACAAAACAATTACACACCGGTTTAATCTAAGAGGCAACACATCTCATCCTTCTAACTTTATCTTAAAGGTTTAAACACTTGTTTATGATATTTGATCCCTAAAATATCATGACCAATATAATAAATACACTTTAAAAATAATAAATATATAAAAATAAAAAAATAAAAAAAATTAAAATAATATAAGATATGAGAAGGATAAATTAGATTATGTTGTCATAATGATCGACATGTCAGATCATACGTCATCACCATTGTTGGCATGTGAGATCATGCATTGTTGTGTACATCTAAAGTGATTTGACTCCCCTATCCTTTCCTAATTAGTGGTATAGTGACACGATCAAAAAATTAATGTTTTCTCTCAGTGTCAAAGTAATAATAAATTAATAAGATTGGAGTATAAACAATAAGGAGGTTAACTTTATAAATTATAAATAATAATAACAACAAGAATAACAACAACAACAATAATAACAATAATAGTAGTAGTAATAGTAGTAGTAGTAGTAGTAGTAATAATAATAAGTTAAAAAGGACTTTGAAATTGTAAGATTAATGTGAGGATTAAACAATGATAAAAACAATTGTCAAGGTTAGAGGATCTATTAATGGTATTTTAAACAAGTATAGTATAAACTCTTATTACTCAACTAGAAACCACACACA